AGAACTAGTCGAGCGATCGGATTTTTCCGACATTACTGACAAAGAACATCCACATTACGGAACTATATTAAATCGCGCCCTAGTCGTTTATTTTTTCCCGAGCATATGCAAATGACAAACCTGCTCAGAGAGAACTTTCTTTACTTACGCTCTTGTCTTGCTATAGAAGATAAGTTGGTAGCGTTGCCACGCGGAAGGAACTAGCGAGCAAAGGACTTCAGTTTACTATTGATCTACTCGTACTCGTTGCGATCATTGGCAAGAGATAATAGAAAACACCGAAAACGGCCAGCTTATGGCGGTGCTGATTTTGAACTGCAATTCCCATTGAAGTACGCCAAAAGGAGAGCTCTAAGTAAAAGATTGGACTTGGACTCGCTACAGATATTGCACCTATGGGGCAAAGCACCGCTTGGTGGTTCTAAGCTGGGTCACTTGTTTACATTTAGTATTTTTAGGTAATATTCAGATATCTACTGTTTTGATGAGTCGAAAATATCTCGAACGCTGCACTGTGTTATTACCACATCTACTGCATGCGAGTGCTCTGTCTTAACGAAGGCTAGTAGCAGTTAACTGGCGATTGCCGGCGGACGAGACACGACGGAGGTACGCACGATGACTACATGACCTTCATGTAGGCGACGTCTGGTTGATAGGTCTATACTATGCTGCAGACCGGATATTTCTACGTATCGCCGTTAAAGGCAATACCAAAGTAATGCTTGACAGGCAGTGGAAATTTGACGAAATCAACGGCGTAACGGCCATTAGTGTTGACGTTAACAAACGAGATAAACGGTTCAACAATGTCTGGCTAAACAAGTCGTTGGTTAGACCCGAATCAGAGGTTTGACCTCCAAACGAAACCGAATTGTATAAAAAAATGGATAAGTAAGTTCCGTTCGTGATCATTAAGACAAGAGGGCCTAAAAAAGAACCTAATCTTTCGTGGACTATGTAGGACACAGTGCACGAGGATAGATACTTGGATGACGCGTACGAACGTACGCGGTCAGAATAAGATCAGACGTGTTAGTTAGCCTGCTTAGTTTATTGGCTTGCTTTCGTAGTGGGCCAAGTAAATCTCGTATTGCTTCTTCTTCGTCGATAGTCTTTCTTTGTCCTGATCAGAGCCCCAGCCAGTACTCAATAAGCACCGCACAAATAGGTGCAGTGAAGAACAAAATATTCAACGATGAGGAACACAACACTTGCAAAGACGTCAAGATGCCAAGGATAATTCTACAAACGCTGTAAATAGTTGCGAGTAGCCGTTTAGTAGGTGATCGGGAGTAACGTCAATTTTTCGTGACATTTGCGGATAGCCATCGCGGTTGACCGCTGTTGCTTGTTTTCGAAGTAAAGTACGGTTCACCTTCAACCGTAAGCCGTTTAATAGCAGAGGCTGACAGAGCCTTTTTCGCAAACTTGTGGGTCAGCTAGCTGGCTGATTGTTCGTCTGTGCATCTGTACCTGTCTGATCGCTGAAGCCCAAGCTCCGAAGCGTATCGGCCCTACTCCGCCGCAGGTGTTAGCCAACGCTATTAAGAATAGGGCAAGGTTCATTTTGTTCGCACAGTCTGAAACAACAACAACGAGAAAAGCTCTAGTGCCAACTATCATAGTTAATTGCAAACGACCAGCAGCAACAATGAACCCCCGGTCATGATGGTCGGCCTGATTATTATTATTACCACAATGCCGATCGCTCGGTAATTGTCGATCTTTCGACGTTGGCGTCCGAGCTGCTCTGTCCGGCAACTGCGATGCTCGTTGCTTTGATCAGCCAAGGAAATTGAACGGAGCGACTAGTGATAATTACTGACGCCAGCAAACAACGGAGCAGCGGAATCAAGGGGCCACGGCAGTGGGTAACTGTCAAGCAGCTGGGCACGTTACCCGCGGCAGTAGCGTCTCTTACTGCGTGATAAGTTCAGTAGCACGTTAAGTGTACTAAAGCAGCATACATCGTAAGGAACCTTATGCACATAGTATATATATATAGCGATCTGCTGAAGTACCTTTTAAAATCTCTTCAATGGACCGCTTCCAACTTATAACTTATTTAATTAGTTCACGTGAAAGGCAATCATGGGTATATTGCAGACTAACCAGCATTAGACTTTTCCGGCGCCAACATAACCTAAAACGGACAAATACAGCATTTTTTAGCTGGGAAGTTTATGGCCCCATTAGGTCAATCTTATGACTCTTTGTTCAAGTCCAAAATCGAGCTCGTTAATCGTACCGTACGCACAAATAACGATTTGACGTCAACCGGTTCGATATTTATTTTATCTTTTGTGCATACCCCTCTAGGGTCGCTCATTGGAACAATGTCGCAACAATTGGAAAATTGTTATATAACCAAGATTGGGGCATACATACGCATTTTTTTAATAAAGATTATTTCGAAGGTTACAGATACGATTCTATTTGAAAAAAAAAAAACAAAAGAACATATTTTTCAGTCACCTATAAGTGGTAAAAGTTGAACTTGGCTCAATGACCTGTTTCGCATTTGTCGGGCTAAGATTTTTCACCTAGATTCGAGTAGGCAAATGACACTTTCGAATTCTAGTCCAAGTGATAGCTGCCAAAACCTGGCAGCGTATTGCCATCTTGTTCAGAAGGCTGACTATGTTCAAAAACAAT